CATTATTTTAATAATAAAAGTATACAAGCATGGGTTTTGATGTCTTCCAAATGTGTGATTTTGTATCTGTCCCAAAAACTATGAAAGAGAAGATAAAATAAATTGAAATGAGGAACAGGATAAGCAGATGATTCAGCTGAAACCGGCTTAGTCAACAAGGTACTAAAAAGAAAATAGGCGACCAAGAATTGGTCGTTTTGTTTGGTGGTTCCTTGAGCTTCAAGAGTCGGTCAAGTGGCACAAATTGAACTCTTCTTGCATTTCAAATTTTAATACCCTTTAAACCATTTCAAGAGAACATATGGAGCTCATTAAATTTTGAAATGGTACAATGAATTATAAAAAATTTACTCATCTATTGTGTCCGAAGAAACCCTATACTTTCTCAAATATTAACCATAAAAATTAAAAATTGTCAATGCAACTTGGAATCGCTCGAGTCGAAGGGGGTCATTAGGTAGGCCATTCTGGTTCCACGAACCCCAAAAATTACCCTCGATTTTTCATGGTTTTAGCTTTTTTCTCTTGATTTCTTTTTTAAATGTGGCTGATACGGCTTGTGAATTGCTCAAGTCAAGATCGATCGACTCGGAACAGGACCCGGCAAGACGAGAATTGATTCCGATTTTTTAAACACTAGTAGAGATCATATCCTTTGAAAAGGATTTGTTATTTTAGTAACCAAAATTTTGGAATTGTAGAGTGGACTATACATTTTACACATTCCTTTCATCAGATCGATTGTAGGTTAATTAGGTTTCTTTGTGAGGTATAAATAAGTTTTAATGACATAATAAAAATAGAAAGGATGAGGTTTCTATAACGTCTGGTCTTTAAAAAAAACAAAATAAAGCATCACCTCAAATCTTTGTTCAAAAAGCATTTTCGGCAACAGAAAATCTCTTTGATGGTTCTAAAATCAATTTCCAACATCGACAATGAAATTTGAAATTCAAAAAATGGTATAGATCTTACGGATACATGAACACATATTTTTAGGGCGAAATGGATGGTCTAGATGATTTGTTACAATAACCATATTTTTAGAACTTATCTTTTTTTTTTTTCACAACCATAATGTTCAAGAAAGATGATTGATATAAAGGGTTTCTAATAATTGAATTACAATTTTCGATGATTTATAGAGTGAGACTTTACTTATTTTGATAAAGGCACAACCCTATTAAACTAATTTCCAAATAGAAAATAATGACCCCTATTAAACTAATTTCCAAATAGAAAATAATGACGTTTTAATAACGTCAAAAGTAGCAAAGTCTTTTGCGTGCGTGAAGAGGTCGGAAATGATCAAAGTGGGCAAGCTTTCACGCTCCAATGTTCAGTAATTCGATCCGGTCATTTATGCACCGGCCCCAGCCCCAGCCCCGGCCCCGGCTCCACATGCTGGCCCTCCATCTCCTAATGTCCAATTTAATCGGACGGTGCATATATTGCACCTATCAAGCTTGACAGGATGAACTACCCAATTAAATTGGACAGTACAAATGGCAAGACCGCATATGAGCCCTCTATCTCGCATTGTTCAATTTAGTTGGACTTGCATATTGAACCTGCAATTCAAAGCAGGTATGATCTGCTTTGTCCAATTAAATTGGACAGTGTAGATGAATTGTCCGCTCATATATAACAATTTACTTTTATAACCACACTCATCATATATGACTTTTTATTGGGTTAAGTCATCCTCTAAGCTCCATAGAGAAGTGGCCCGACATTATGGATGTAAAGGTGCGGTTTGTATAAAGCCTAGGCTCTAAATAATTAAATTAGAGCCTACCTTCAAATAGTATTGAGAAATGTGGTTTTAATATTTAAAATCTTGGAATAGCCTTAAAATATATTTTTATATTTATTTATAAAATTTAAAGCTTCAAAAATAGTATAGATCGACATATCTATAAAAACTTGAAAATCTTAAAAATTTACGGTAAAAAAATGCGTTATAAAATACATTGTTTTCAAAACTTTTAATCCGTTTTTTTCTTTTGTCCATGCATCTTGATGTCAAGATGATCGATTTGAAGATATTTGGGCATCAAAACAACCTCTTCTAATAAAATTTTTGAGGTAGGCTCAAAGTTGATTGTTTAGAGCCTCGGCCCTATATAAACTTTTCCATGGATGTAATTACTAATTACTAGCATGAGTTACCTAATATTTTCTATTAATAAAACTATAGTGAAGGAGTGGAGACATATCATTCAATTAAAATAGGACCAGGGAGAGATTAGGGTAGAGCACCTAGACTTTATAAAGAAAGTTAATTATACATTTACTTTTAATTTTAAGGAAGTTTATCAAATTGAACCTAAAATTGAAATATTTAACAATTTACCCATATTATTTTAATGAAATTCGAGTAAATTATAATTATCTGAATCAAATTTCAAGTACCACATCAAATGACTCATCAAAATGGGTTTCGAAATTTATCAAACCAAGATAAAACGTCAAATAGTTTAAATTTCAGGTGTATTCGATAAACATTTCTTGATTTAATTCAAAGTCTATTTCCCTCTTCACTCTCTCCAATTCAAAAAAAATTTGAAAAGCAAACCCAGCTTCAAAAACACTTCATTTTTATTTCTTCCTATGATCTCTCTATAAGTTTTTTTTTTTTTTTGAAGAAGAAGAATAAACTCCCATAATAGAAAAAAATTTCTTTGATTCCCCCTCTTCAATTGTGTGTATATATTTATCCAATATGTTTTACCTATTATGGGATCTTTGTAAGTCTATATTTATTGGAATTCAAATTTGATATTCAAACTTCGAAAGATTATGTTAATAGTTGTCTTTGAGTAGATCAGCAGGAAGAGGTCTCTTACTCATGGCACCAACCATCCTACCATCAATAGAATAATCGGTAACATATCCTCTCGCCTTTAAGCCCCTTTGCGAAGCATGTGCGGAAAGGAATTCGTTTTTTTTTTTTTTCTTTTGTAAACCTGTCTTTGTTAGAAATACGAGGTACGACATGGGGAAGTACGGGATATTTTATCTTGACATTATGAATTGATTGATATTGGACTTTTGGAAGCCAAATACCCGGACCCCACCCACATATAATACAAGTGACTCCTAGTCTCAGTCAAATGATTTGAGTCACAATATCATAAATTAGTTTTCAACCATCAAATCTTGTTTATATAGTTCAAAGTTTTTTATTTTTAATTTTTACTATATAAATCATTTTAAAACAAAATTTGGAATATACATAGATCTAATAGGGACACACATGATAAAATCAATAATAAAATATTTTTGATGATGACCAATTACCATAATACTTCTGAAAATTTTAGAGGCATTTTGGTCATTTATTTTTATATAAAATATTTATTTTTTATTTTTTCAGGTTTGTTCTAATTTTGTGATTGGATGTCCAAAATTTTATTAAAAAATACTTTGTAGAAAAATAAAAATAAAAAAAACAGTATTTTGCATGATATTGGGGTATGAACCGTTGTAGTGATCCAACGGCTAAAAAGAAAGGTCCCATATAACTTAAATGTTGTTGGGTCACGTATAAACATTTCCCAAAAAAGGAAATACCGACCTCGTTAATGTGGTGCAGGACCAGCTAGGGAGAAACAAGGACATGGTAGTGGGTAGGTGGTATATTATATGCAAATACAATAGAGTTCCAAATTTTGTTTTCAATGAACTAGTACTGGTGGGAATGCAGAGTATTTATCGTAGTTACCACACCGACCGAACGATCTATCCAATCGGACCTTTGACTGTTACGTTGGCCAATGTGGTCTAAAGTAAAAATCGGCTAAAAATTGAATCAAAACTAATATTAATTTAAATTTATAAGGCCTTGTAGGAAAAAAAAGCTAAATATTTATCAGAAAAAATAAATAAAAGAGGCGATTTATTTTTAATACAAGATCACAATAACTCATCCATTAAATTTCAAGTCAGGTGGTTGTGAATGTATCATTGATTAGACTCAATCTTCAAAACAAAATTTTTTAAACTTTATGACACACCAAGCCATCCAATTTGACACATAATGGCTTGTGGCATTGTGACCTCCTTGTAACTATGATAATGATCTCATTGTATACAATTCCATATTTTTTCCGATAGGAAATTTTGGAATCCATTTGAAGACTCACCGGGCCATTATTTAAGTAAAAGAAAAAGATTTTGAATTATTTATTAAAAACATATATTGATAGATCATTTACTTTTAATACAAGAAGGTCATAACTCTTATCCTTTAAATTTAAAATTGGTTGTTTCAAGCATGTCATTGACTAAACATAATATTCAAAAGCAAAATTTATTGACTTTGTTATACCCCAACCTTCCAATTTGACATCTAATAACTAAAAGCAATTGAAAAGAAAGATAAATGGATAGTATACAATTCCTTATTTAATATTCAAATCTCTCGAGTGTATGTTCAATTTTAGGACATCATTTTATCAAGCTCACAAAGAGTGCATTTAATTTGATTTTATTTTGCTTTTCTCTAAGTTGGTTGTAAGGTTGGAGACAAGACATTCCGAAATTTCAGAGCTTAAACTATCTCCTGGTTGAGCATTGCCAAAGGGAGCAATGCCCACAGTATGCTCCTGCTGGAGCATGAAATCATTGAAGTTAACATTCAAGTATCGACTCTTTATATGTTGCAGATACCAATGTCAACTCTGAAGTAATGACGAAAATTCTATTACGCAACGCACCTTCCCCAAAAGGTTACTGTAAAGGCGAAAATTTTACTCTATGCACCCTCACCATAAGATGACGGCATCTTTTCACCAAACAACTTAACGTTTAAATATATACAAAATGAACAGTACTAAATAAAAAAAATCAACCCTGAAACCATTCAACTCTAGAACATAGTTTTCAATTTTTGTAATAGAAAATGGAAACAAAATTCACTAGATTACGATTTCCCTCAAAAGTTTATTTAATTTCCCAGATTGATTTATTTATCCTAGATTAAGCCCAATATCCTATTTCGGTACTACAAACATGAAACTCGCCAATACATTAAAATAATAAAATCTAATAATAATAAGATCCCTAAAAAGAGCATTATTCAGCCCACCATGAAAATGCTGACCAAAAACTCAAACCATATTTCTAAGTAACTGTTCTGAGTGATCCCATCCGTACGTTCCTCAGTGCTCATCAAACATGATAAAATAAACAAGCCAAAAATGCCGGACTGCCAAACACAAAAAAAAGTGAAGCAGAGGATAAATAAGCTCCAGGAGTTCCCCGGCACGGAATCACCCACTGGAAAACCTTCTCTCTCTCTCTCTCTGAGAATGTGTATCCTATTGCATGTTCCTTTCTGTACACAATGCTGTACATAAGCAGGTCCAGAACCATGTCTCACGTTATAGCTGCCAAGCCTATCACATCACCATCTACAACACCAGCGTTGACATTCGGGGCTGGGTTCCGCAGTTTGGCTGAGAAAATAATCATAAAATTACAGTCAGAATACATAAATACATCATAGAGAAGTTCTACATAGAAACATTAAAACAAGGTCAAAACAGTAGAAAAAAACATTGATCTCTTCATCATTTGAAGAAACGAACTCTGTACTGTCTAAGCAAAAATCATAGTGTAACTATGTTACACTGATAGATATATCTTTTGCTACTAAGTGGTACATATTATATCACAAATTGAATAAAATTGTGGCCCAGCTAAAGAGAAAAAGAAAATGCGAAGTGTGTAACTCAGTTCAACATGGCCTACTGCCATTCTTCTTCATTGTGCTCTTTTTAAAATGCATAAGAACAGTTAATATATTTCTCACTGAACCGTATCATACTAGAGTCCCATTGAGTCCAAACAGTAAACAAGCTCCTTTTGCCCAACAATCCAATGGAAAATAAATTATAATCCAATGGACTGAAAAACATTGTCCATCACGATCATCACTGTAAATGAAATAGCAGAGAGACTATTCGGTCATGTCCTGTTCTGGTGGGCCCCACCCTCTCCACATCACTGTATATTATTACATGGGCAGTAATGACCAGAAAATGAATGGTTTCCATAGTCCATTAAATTATGACATACTTTGAAATAATTGACCAAAAGACAAATTTTCGAACCTGAGTAACAGGTAGTAATAAGTTTGCAACAACTACTCAATACCTTTAATGCTTGACAACCCAACTTAAATGTTACCAGAACAGGTAGGGATGACAGAGCAAGCTTACGAGAAACATTTGTTATAACATTGATATTTTTCTGAGAACTGAGGGCTTTCAAATTGTTCCCAGCAGCTAATAGAAGCAAACTTTTCATATGTTGCCTTTGTTCTTTAGGACTGGAAGTTTTAGCAAGGGCGTCTTCAAAGGCAAGCAGATCATTTGATGTAATAGAGGGTAGAGATAGTAAAACCTGCAACAATCAATATCACATCTTGGCATTAGTTTCTGCTTCAAGTTGCCAATTTGCTATTATAGATTTAAGGCTGGTTAAATTCTATAAGACATAAATAACATTAAGAATTGTACTCTACAACCCATTAGTCAGTAAATAGAAAGGATAACTTTTTTAGATTTTATCAAAGCAAACCTGTTTGGGCCCAGGATTTCTGTCAGCTAGATGGACAAATATTTCACGACAAAGACTGACAAGCTCTCCACTATTGTTGACATTTGACTCCAATGTTAAGCCTTGAATCACAGCAGCAAACAAGTCTCTCGCAACAAACTCCCTGAGTTCCGCATTATTTGTTGAAAGAGCAGCTAGAATAACAGTGGCTCCACAAAACACAAGAACCTTGGAGACGGCTTCCCCATCTGGCCGTGAAAGGGTATCAATACTTATTTGTAGGGCAGGAACAGCCAAATCCTTGTGCTTCAAGGCAAAGCTGCAGTTCAATCAATGACAGATGATGATTTGTTTGAATAACTAGATAATCCAGACTTGTGGAATGTACCAGTCACAGTGAATCAGAAGTGTTCTGAGAACATGTGCACACACGCACAGGCCGACGCCAACATACAAACACACACACATACATGTACACACTTGGCCAAAAAGAATCAAAGCAACACACACACTATGAGTATAATATAAAACAACTTCGCCATTCTTCTGTTTAAGAAAGTGTAGATAGTCCAGTGGAGCACAGATATGGTACTCCAAAGTCAGTATCCATTCCACTACTGTTCATGATAGACAGAGGAGATTCACGTACTTAGGTGCATGTCCTGATGAGTCCCGCTATGATTAATCTCCGTTTTCCACCAACAGGAAGAGATAATAGACACCCTTTGGAGTACTCTATAGCATAGTCTTTTGGATGTGGTGTACAGTACAATTTTCCAAGAAATGTAGAGAGAAATATTCTATATCATACCCAAACAAAGAGTTCGAAACGATTGCATCTGCCTCATCTAGAGAAGACAACTCCATGCGGTTGGTGCTACCAGGTTGGTCAAGAGAAGGGAGCCCTTTATTGAGCGGTGGTGAAGCCAGCACCGAGAGCAAAACACATATTTCACGAGTCAGGTCTCGAAGCAGCTTCTCCTCCAACACCTCCAGCCTCAAATCCATTTCAGAATGATTTCTACAGATATCTGGAACCTTTGCTCTTCCTTCATGTACAAGGTTGGACCATGAACAGCAAAGAGCCTGCTGACAATGTCTAAATAGTGGTGGAAGAAGTTTTTCTAGCCATTCAGCCCATAAATCCACAGGGCATGATTTTATTAAAGGAATCAACGTTGAGTGTATGAGCTGGCGTATATGCCTGAACTCCATACATTCTATGTGCTCCATAAGTGCTATGGCAACAGATTGGCTCTCTAAGCATCTGAAAAAGTAATCCCCAATGCTTGCTGATAGGCCAATTACATTGTACCTATAATTAGGCACGTGTGATGAAGTCAGTTAAATAATGGGGTAAGAACTTTTGCTTAGATAGTACGATACAAGTATATCAAATTCTGCAAAAATTTACATAACAGAAAGGTCAAGGATAGATAACAGAGCCAGTTCCTGTGAACAGTCATGAAAATCAGACTGACAAAATATAGTACACAATTTCTATGACCTGATACCATAATTTGAAAACACTGAAAAATGAAACAAGAAATTACAGGAATCCAGTCAATTTACAGATGATAATGAAAATAAAATGAGACACTTCTATAGATGAAGTACCCCAGTTTACTAAGGTGCGAGCGATTTAAACACAATGCATATCAATTCCTCTTTTCTTTTAATACTTGTAAATTAGTTCCATGTGCATACTCGAAGCATGAATGGTGATTATACAACCCCATCACAGAAAACCTAATGCTCAATTAGGATGTCACAGAATTAGATTAATCAGCTACCAACATGCGGGCTTTCATTAACAACTGAGGCTGACAGCATTTTATTGCAGCCAAGTGACATGTCTAAGCCTCTATTCCAAGGAGAACTTTACAGAACTCATAAAACTAGAATGATCTCCAGAAAGTAGAATATAATCCAGCAGAGAAGGGACAATCCATATCCCATTAGATCCATCACCTCCATTGACGCAATGAACGGCAATGGAAAGAGAAAGACGCATCACTGGGTCATGTCTTGCTTGCTCTGGGGGGGATTCTACTTTCTCTCCATTAAGGTTCATTGTCTCAAGGGGAAGTGATCATCCAAGAGACAATAGTTTCTCCACAGCCCACTGGATTATAGAGGGAAATTTATCAAAATATCCATAAGAGGTGAACTATTCAAAATTTAACCCATTTGCAACTATTCCAAGTCATGATCATGTGGCCATTGATGGAAATTTTGAAATTATATCAAAGAATATGGGTAGAATGTTAAACAGTTCATCCCACATGGTATATGAATAAATTTTCCATACTAGTATACTTTTCCTTATTTCCATGGCCACAGATAAATTATCAAGTTTAATTATAACTATTAACTCAATGCTTACCCACTTTCTCTGATGCCTTTAAGCCAGGTTCTAATGTCACTTTCATTAGGTTCCAAAGTGTGTCCCGCCTTATTTGCATCACTTGGATTCTGAGCCCCATCAGACAAAGGTGGCACCTCCTTTGCAGATTTAGATAACACATCTCCAACAAGACTAACTTGCTCAGCTTGAGATATATTCATTGCACTCCTTAGTTGTCCCGGCAAACATTGAACAATGGATTGAGACCAGAGAGGGTGCACACAGCGAAGCAACTGCAGAGTGAACAAACCAAAACTTACCAAATCATAAACCATGGTTTCCATAGAACATGCTAAAAGTCCATTCTTCAATACTGAGTACTGTGTTCTTAGCTGACCAAAAAAGTCAAGCATATTCGAAAATACAGGAAGAAGCAATGAATCAGAAAATGATACACTTACCCTTAATAGTGGAGGCAACATCCATGATATATGAGGTGCAATTGGATGGACAGAGTTGGATTCAGAGCTTGTTGATGAATTATTTTGCTGAATCGGAGTGCTTCTTCTTGACCCTCCTTGTCCACTTCTTTTGAGGGCTCTCTCAAAGAATGCAACAGAATGATAAATTGACCACATGAGATCTGAATCTGAACATAGACGCACAATACCCATAGGGTCAGCCAAATATAAATTTTGCCAATCCAGCTGTGTCCATTGTTTGCTGAAGGGTTCGAGCAACCAGGCCAAAGCTTCTTGCTGCTGTTGACTCCTGTATTATAAAATGATGTGTGATGAAACCCTCTAATGTGTTTAAATTGTTTTTTTCTTTTTCTTTTTTTTTTTGGTTATTGGACAAGAAGCCAAGAAAAAACATTTAACTATTTTTTTCTTTCAACAAGGCAACTGAATTACCCAGCAGCAGAAGCTATGACAAGAAATGCTTCCCCCAAAAGATTATGCTCTCCACGATGTAGAGATCCCTCACCTTGGAGATAAGCCATGGTATCAGCAATACTCTACAAGAACAGCATTCTCATGAGCAAGGGCCTCTAACAAATAGAATTGCATCTCAAGAATAAACCAGTTTCAAAAATAATACTGCTTTTCTGTCCTTACTAGTTCTTTCAACAAACATATCCATCTAATATTTTGATGCTCAGGAGTAATGCATATGAAACCAGATAAACTCTACTCTAGAAACTGCACCAGGTGTCATCACAGAGAAGGGGCTAGTCCAGTCAAATATGGTTTGACTTCATTCCAGCTGGTTGAACTGATCAACCAAAAGAATTAAATAAAAAAAGGAAAAAAACGTCAGTTGGATGTCTAACCAGACTAAGCCTCTGGGTCCAGTCTGAACAATCAGGTTAGATAGCTGGTTTAACCATAGTTGACAGGTTCGGTAGCGGAATTGGATGCATGGGATCGCGTAAGGCTACAAGCTCCCTATGGTCAGGATCACTGTCCAAAACCCTGAATTTTAGGGATCTCGATCTCAACATGTTGGAGAGCTGGATCCCTACTATTTGGGATCACATGAGAAATTCTGTAGGTCCGTGACACATCAGGTAAAAAGATCCTTTTCTCTATGAAAAATATAGAAAACATAATCTTGCAACATAATAAGACTTGTATCCTCATAAAAGATCAATCTAGCATGAGTGTGATTTATATCAACGTAACCCTAAGGGATTGGGATCATGTTCCCCCCATAAGGGAGCAAGATCCACCCAAGGTCCAGATCTGGAGCATACGATCGCCACCGGGTTGGGAGATCCCAATAACTAAGGGTTCAACCCAACTTAACCGGGTTCAGGTTGATAATCTGTATTTTCAGAGTTTGAGGACCAATTCTGGTCCAAGCCAGTCAAACCAGCCACATTGGTCTGTTTTCTCAGGAACGCTGCTCAAACATGGATTCGGATTTTTTTATTTTCTTCTTTTTTGATGAAACATGTGTCTGGAGATTGGAGTCTTGGGAGCTGAAAATGGTCCCCAGCTGTCCCAAACCTTCAAGGAACCGAGCCAAACCAAGATTGGGCATGTTTAAGCTTGGTTTGAGCGGTTGGAAGACCATCTTAAGCTTAGTTTGAGCTGGCCTTGATTAAGAGAAGATAAGCTCGAGCTTAGCTTTGGTTAACCTGTTTACTTAAAGAAGCCTGTCAATGAGCCTAGCCAAGTCATAGACAAGGTAATCACAAGCCCATGTATAAAACATATGATATAATATTTATATGATATAATTACTATATTAGGGTGTGTATCCTCGTGGAGGTGGTGCTACATATTGTACATTACATATATAGCCTCGCTCTAGAGAGACCTTGACTGATCTTCTCGAGCATTGTCTCGGTATGATGATGCAGGGATAACCCTCCCTTAGTGATTGAGAAATGAGTGTCCTCATATCCCACCATGCTTCACGTAGGCGCCATCTCTGATGTGAGAAGGCGATCTTTGCCTTGTTGGCCCGCAACAAGGGGCACCTAGAGTGCGGCACTGGTGCAGGGTAAATAGCTTGTAAACTACGCTCTGTCATGCATAGAGCGAGCACTTCCGTCGTTTATTAAACCCACTCAAGCCAAGCCTGTCTTAGCCTGAGCTTGGTTCATTAACTAAACAAGCCTGCAGGCATGTCTTGGCTTGTCGAGATGAAAAATATTGCTCAAGCTTGGCTCATTAAAAGCCAAGCCAAGCTGCATCACAAGCTTATTGACACCCCTAGCAGTGAAGCCTTGTCTCACCTTGAACTTGGCCTGTTTACTAAACAAGCCTGCAGACTTGGCTTGTCTTGTTGAGCTGAAAGATATTGCTCCAGCTTTGGCAAGTTGGGCCCAACCAGCTCGGCTTGTTGACAGCCCTAGCAGTGAAGCATACATCCAAGCTACCAATAAAAGAGGGTTGTTCACTCACAATGATCCCAGAGCAATGTAGCAGAAGACCATGAAATTACCAGCCTATAACATCCCATTTCCAATGCTACAAATTCTCACCAGAAGATCTAAAACCTCCATTTCATCATTCTCAAATTCCTTCCCAGAGATAGGACACCAGATCAAGGACCCTCCTAACAGTCCTCAACAAAGAGTCCATTATCCCATTTCATCTATTCATGACATCATCATAATGTCAACAACAGACATCCAATGAACTAGATGACGCACCAAACAAGCAGGATCGTCCATTTTCTCAGTCCAAAAACCAGTTCAGTTTTAAACATTGGTTTGCTAAATAATTAGGAAGATTTGGAAAAATATCCACACGAAAGCAGATGTCATGGACATCAAAATTATGCTATAAATTGTCAAAAGAATAATACAACCTTCATAAGAGAAAGAAGGCTTTTGTCAGCGGCTTTGGCAATCCGAAGAAATGATGTGCAAACCTGCAATCTGGCTCGGCGAAAACCAGCCGTAGAAGGATCCTATCAGAAAAACATTTTTGTTCAGAACAGCATGAATACCTACATTTTCCAGTCCCACAGTATCATAGCTATGTCTTAGATTACAAATGGAAGTTAGGAAAGATAAAGTTACCTTTGAGGCAACTGGAAGTGTCATTATAAGTTCAAAAATCTTTTTAACAACCTCACCAGCAGCTTCAGGAAAGCACTTCAAATATGGGCCCAATGCATCTAAATGCCGACCAAGGATTTCCACATATGCAGGATCCGTCCATTTAAGAGAAATCAAATTACGAAGTAATTCTGCAGGAGATTAGACCTTCAGGATACCAAGCATTGAGGATGAAAAGGGGTAGAAGCACTAACAATAAAAAGAAAACTCACTAGACAACCTTCCATTATACTGTGCAACATGACTTGATCTTCAGGAGAACAACCAGTACCAGATTCAGTAGACCCATCAAAAATCCCACTGACAACCGTTTCAAGAGCCAGTTGGGTGCCTTCCATTTCATTCAAGTCCTGCAAATTACACAAGTACCACATTGCAGACAAGCTTGATAAGATAAGCCAAACATGAACGCAATACTCATCCCCTTCTTCTATTTAAGAATTTAAGTTCAACACAAACCCTAAAATTCAACGAAGAGTCCAGGCTCAATTTATAAGATCATGATTGTCAGTTACACTAGTAGAACATCGACTAGGCCCACCTGAGAAGGTAGTGATGTGAGTGAATAACTCTTGAATACTAAGCCAATCCTCTCAGAGATCTTTACAGCTGCAACTACCGGCTTGTAAGAAGCAAGTATCCTAACAAGCTCCAACTGCATGTAACATTAAAATCTCAGAAGCAAAATACAGAAATGGTAAAGAGATACATAGATTAGTTACCAAATGAGGCATATGGAGTGCTACCATACAACGTTGAATCATAAAATGACCATCAATATTCACTTAGAGCTGATATATCAATATAAGATACACAAAATGAATAATGCAGCTTGAGGTAAGAGGTTAAATGAATAAAAGTTGTGCAAAAGAAGTGAACTAAGTGAAATGAAAAATATCAAACAATTAAAATTTCAGAATAATTTATGGAAGATTGAAAACATTCCGCTGAATCATACTCCATACTCCTTTATCAGTATGTGAATTGACATACTGCAGAGTACAGAAGACTAGAAAAGGATTATTAACTATACATTAGAGGTATCGACAAGTCACACAATACCATAGCATGTATGTCGAGAGAGGGAGAGTGAGAGTGAGGAAAAGGGTAGAAAGATACTAGTATAAGACCGACTATATGCGCTGTATGTATTCAAACGAATACAAACCATAAAAGATGACATGCCTCATGGATACACCAAATTGCAGTTCACTCAAAGACTGAACTAGAGCTTTGGAAAGACTAAACTACAAATATTTGTGTTTCCATTCCCAAAAAGGAAGTGTTCTGGTAAGCTCAGTCTAGGGGACATGTTCCACCTACTAAGTTTGTGAAATTCAGCTATCATTCAGAGGCTTTACTGTAAAATTGGTTATTAGTACTGAGAAATATGAAATATACGTGTTCAATGTAGACATACAATTCTAGAACGATATCTGCTGAATGATTCCTTGCTTTCAAACTCATGATCCCATAACTCCAATACCCCTCCTGAAGTAGTTGCAGGAACATTTTTCTTAAGCAACCGCTGGAATGATACATCCAAAATAGCACTACAACAATCATCACCAATAGAAATTAAAGGCCCTTTATTTTCCTTGTCAGAATGTCCAAAAGAAGAGCCTGCACTATCTCCAGATATTTGAACAGAAGCCTTAGGCTTAGACACTGATTCCCTAACGAACCCCTAGCAGAACAAAACAACAAAAAATGCATCAGAAGAAGTACTATATCTTTACAGGAAACATGTTCATCACCACAAAGGACTAAAAAATACATCAACAAACTTTTGGAGCCTGTCCTACCAACCAAAAGAGCAATGAATGGCAATGAAGCGCCAGCTTGAAGTGTCGAAAATATCCCAACATCTGAACAAACAAACAAGATAAAAAATTCATGTTATATTTAGGACACTTCCTGACAATGTACCAATTAAAAAAATTTTAAAAATACCACAAGAGCACAAAATGTTTTAAGAATAGCAGCAAATCAAGCACTGTGGTCGTAACAATGAACACTCAGGGTAGTTTGATGCTCCATAACATCGCATTTACAAAAAAAAAGATTGAAATCTCCACAACAGTTTGATCACAAGATTCATAACTATGTACTAAGTGTGTCCTTGCAGAACTGCCGTGCCAAGAATCCTATCAACATCATTATATCAAGGATTTTAACTACGATCTTATGTTACCCGACTGTTCTATTTGGTTTATGCACCCCTGCCAGACACATATGGAAACGCATATAGAGACAGACTCTTCTGGATTCTTTTTGTTTACTAAATATTGATGACATCATTTAAGAAACTTGATATTCTTTTTTCTTTTCACTCAAACACATATGAACTTCAAAATTGTCCATGGACAAAGGTATAATTGATTTTTTTTTTCCATTAATTGTTTTTTTAATAAAGATTGGCATTTGTTTACTATCAAAGCAATTTACAATTTGCATATGGCTGTACATGTGGAAATCAGCAATGCTCAAAAAGGAAAGGACTAATGTTGGAATATTAATGGAATAAAAAATGTGCCAGTTAGGACTAAGATCTATTTACTATAAAACTATTGCGAGCAGTCCCTTCTCTTGCAAGGGCATCAGCTACCTCTGCCTCACGCATTGATTGCTTGTAAGAGACCTGTATGATGTTGGAAATCGCAAAAATTTGGTCTTACAGTTGCTCCAGGTACCATGGACATGGGATCTGCCTTGAAGCCCATATGACACAACTTTCACAGAATCCCCTGCCACTTTGAGAGAAGGATCCCAACTGGTATTGAACAGTTTGATGCCCTATTACAGTGCCACTGATCATGACTATGGAATACTAGCAAAGCATTGTTAGATTTGTTGTCTCTTTCATGATATAGTCGTGTCACCTAATCCTCTTCTTCATGGCATAAGGATAACGACTCCTGCAGCTGTGACTGACACCGACATACATAATACTTATGTCCATGCAACATGGCGTGATCTATTTTACCTGTATTTCCAACAGATCCCTTACTTCTCATACCCAGCTACCCCCTTTCCACAACAACCAATAGCAAACACACAATCCCTGCAACAATTTCTGCATTAAAATTCAAAATAAATACTTCTGTACTTAGGTGATTCCCTTCGGCAAACCCAGCAATGGGAAACAATGCCAACAGTGTATCATGATCTATGCTATCTAGTAGACAACTGTTGAAGGACCCAACCCTTCCTCCAAAGAAATCCCTCAGTCATCCAATACAGCAATCCTCAATAGTTCCTAGATCCACCAATTCTCATCTTCCCTAAATTCCACCGATCGTTTGTACCCCTAAAGAATCATGATTAAAATTCCAGATACAGCTGTAACAATCATCTCGTTACACACCACAAATTCAAGGATATGACTTAAATCTCGCTAGCTTCAGCGTCACTGCTCCCAATTACATTATCTCATTTCCCATCCCCTTCAATGAAGACCTTCCCACCTCTACCTCCACATGCTATACAAAGAAAGTACCTTCCCACCTCTACCTCCACATGCTATACAAAGAAAGTTCTTTCTTTACGAGCAATTTGTATTGATTGTCAAGGAAGAATGGGACAGCACATTCTAACCTACATGCCATCATCTTTCTTTTTGGAAGCGAACTTGTATGCATCATTAAACCAAGTATTTTGATGAAAAGTTGGAAACTAAGACCAAAGTAGTGCAACAGTGACTAAACACCAGATAGAAACAACTGATATATTTCCTAGTAAGGGTATTATAGTGTAGAATGTGAAAACAAAGTAAAGGAAGACCAAGTTTCCTCCACCAGAAGGACAATGAAGGTGTATTCAGATATTTCATATTCGAGTCTTGCAAATTTGTATATGTATACTTGATTAACATATTATCAATGATGACAGCCAATAATTGTATGGCTTGGATCAATATATAAAATATACTATTCAATGCATTCTCATACCTGTTCAAGGTAAAGAGAAAGAACAGAGCTATCTCCAGCAATGCAGTACAAGTTATTGCATCCTATTGAAGACATACTTTCACAGATGCATTCCGCAAACTCAAATTCATTTTCGTCAATACTACAAGGTTGTGAGTCCGATCGGCATAAGAAATCTTTAGATGCACTCATCAGTAGCTGATAGATATTCCTCATGGGAAACTCGAATTCAGAAGCTGATGCATCAGGAGGTTTTTTCCTGCATGTTACAAATTGGGAGGGGACTGGAATCAGGCAAAAGAACATTAGCTTTTACAACTAAAAAAAGAAAACATTCTACCACATGAAATCGTCAATTTTTGTTCCAATGTATATCTAGTACAAATATAACATCTCGTCGTAACCTTTTAATCATACCTGGGAGAAACAATCTTGAAGAATTCACATGCATGAAGACGAAACTCAACAGAAGAGAGCAGGAAACCACATCTGCAATAGTTAAAAGTCAGCTTTGTGTAAGGGAAGGTATCATAAATGGACAAGTGCTAACATAAGAGAGATGATAGAGGTGGATTCTTACGCATTGATCAGACCCGATTTCGCAAGATCACATACAGGAGCCCATTCTGCATAAGCATTGACAGCATTAAGAGCAGCTGTCACTGCGGCAGCATGCATCCTTGCCACATCCAATTGCCCTCTTTGCACTTCACTCACAGCAGCCCCAAAATGTTTCTCAAGTAACTGTGCCATATAAAAAATACTTGCTCAATTATTCAAAACTACAGCTGTATCACCATATCAAGCAGAATGACTTACACTGTATAGCAAAGGTAAAATGTCTGATAGAGATTGCGACAGCCCACGCAGCAAAAGTCTACGTCGATCCGCTGATTGATACACCAAAGAAAAGCCATAAGTTGCAGGCTCTAGATCACTTGCAAATTTCCTCTTTTTTTCTTATCAGGCATTTTTCAATATTTAGTGATTCACAATCCCCACACGGAAAAGAGAACAGAAAATACAATCCCAAATGATAGAACTGATCAAGCTTTAAATAACCTTCTAAATCTTCATTATGAACAGTGATGTCCTCTGGAAGCCATCTCAGCAACATGGCAATTAGTTCTGCCTGGAATCGTTATGAATCATCTCTTAATCCCTCCTGGTATGGGCTACAGTGAACAATAAAAATTAAGTTGAATAGCTGGGATGAAAGTATACCTCTATGGGACCTTTATTACATGTACCAAGCAATGAAGGTAGCAATTCTTGCCATAAGCTAAAATCCTCTCTCCTAACTACCTGTCATAAGGAATAAATCTTAGCAGTATAATAAATATACAAACCAAGTCATAGCATCACAAAAAAAAATCGTGAAGAACCTCAGAGAGGCCTCAAAGCAACATTCATAGAAGCCAAACTAAAAAAGTGAAATTTTAGAATACTTTAGAAGCTCAAGAGTTCCTGTAAAACCTCAGCAATGAGAGCTGCCGTTTGACTTTTCAGTGCCCATTGTTCCTGCGGACTTGCCATCTCTGAAATTAGATTGACTGTTAGGCTGGCAAAATTCCTCCTTTCATCAGTTGTGAGCTCCTCCCATCGCAGTCGCACCAAATGCTGCAGTTAAAAAGACAAACACTCCATCTATTGTTAAAATCTTAATGCTAATGATACTATGTGAAATGTTGACCCAAATAGTGGAACTGGGAATAATACACTTTTGGCACGAGTTTATTGTCAAGAAGTTCTAGGAAATCATTGATTATGAACAAGAGGCGGATACTAATCACTGAGTATCATCCTATTTTCCATGATTAATAAGCACCTTAAGATTCCGTTTCGACATTTCTCAGCTGCTGATTCTTTGTCACTCATAATTATAACTCATACTCTTTCTTCTTGTAAGAAATTCTTTTGGTTATTGAGCAAGAAAAACAGAGGTTTATATTAATACCGCATAGATGCTATTTGTTAACAATAAAAATGAGTATGAAGGCAAGTCCTGGAAAGAAAAGGAGGGCTGATTCAGCCACTCACAATTCTAATAATCCACCCATTGTTTCAGATTCTGCCACCCATTTTTGGGTGGCAGAACACACTGGGGGACCAGTTTGACCACCCATAGTACTGAGTGAATTATTGAAGTATTGAGTAGCCAAGTGAGCCACCAAAATAGGACTATGAGTTATAGAACAATGGGGTTCAATTTCAATGAGGCTTCTAAAGTTGCTGACAAGTTTCTCATAGGAGCATGATATTGAATTTGACTAAACATTTTGAATATTATGGATAAGGTAATAACGTTAAATACAAAAGAGATCGTGGATAAGCCAATGACAGAAGGAATCTAGGTCTCTTTCAAAAAATGAAGATATCTAGATGCATGAATGATGCCTCATGCATTGTTGGAACCACATGAAATCAGTCATCAGTTTGATTGCAACACCTTGTAATTACTTTTATACTTAGGAAAGCTTTGGTGAGGGCTAAACTAGGCAGATATGGTGCTGTTAACATAATGCATGTTTGCATTTTCTTCACGTCTAATCATATTGCTAGAATTAGGTAGCCATCAACTACCGAGACATGGGTCATATTTCCTTTTCTTTTCTTTTCTTTTTTTTTTCAGTTTTTCACAAATGTTAGATGAGATATCATCTAACGATCCCCTGGACTGACCTTAATTGGACTTTTCAATGTTATATTTACTAAATAATGATATTATAAAAAAAATAGAAGGAAACTTTAGAGCTTGGTAGATGCTAAGAAACAATAATAGCATAATCAGTATTTTGAAAACTACTTTTCCATGAAAGTTGATGCACATAATCCTGAAGTAGATTAACAACTCACTCATCCTAATCATAGCAATTAATAGAATATTCAAAGGGAATTCTAAGTTATAGAAGGCCTCATCATTACCTCTAGAATTAAAGTTTTTTACCAGAACTTCTTAGCCATTGAATTCAGCACCCAAAATATTCCAAGCTAGCAAAATTCAGAAATGTACTGCAATGAAACAAAATTTCTCATAGACATGTACCTGTAGCATTTTAAATCCATGCAAGCGTATCTCAGAAACCCACTCCTTTCTCACCAAATTGAAGGATGTGCTTGCTAAATTGCGAACATCTCCAGCTTTCATCTGTGCAATTTCATAAGTAGCCATTACATTGATAGAAACCGTGGTGCTGGATAATGGAATTGTGGACCATTCTATGATGAATGTCATATACAGATAATTGGTGAACACATATGGGGATGTAATATGGATACATATCAAGACTGATATATTTGTTCAGACTTACATATCAATTATTTGAAGACAAAAACTATGCTGGAGGCAGCTCAGCACTGCTTCCATCGTGAATAACCATCAACATGACAGGCAATTCCATACCCATCAAACAACACCACCACTTCCTTACCCACTCTATACTAAACCCCAAAGGATTACCTAGCAAGACCAGCTACTATACCAGTCCCACCAAGTCCGACTGCACTGTACAAAGCCAAAACACCTTCCCAAAATCCAAGGTACATATGCCAAACAACTTTTGAACCCGACATACGCATAACACATCCCCTGCCATCACATCACCCATCAAACAGAACCATAAATGTTCACCAAAAACACCCTCCTTTTACTCCTAACCATCTATCAAAACTTTATCCTACCACCGTATCCTTGCCTCATAGTAAACCCAGAGGGTACCCCAAACCTAAACCCTCACATGTAGTACAGAACACCTGCTCCCCATCCCCCCTATAATACACAGATCAACCAAAATCCTCACTACATTCGGAGCATGTAATCATTGGTTAATAAAGCCATAATCATAGGAAGAGATCATCCAAATGTGTCCATGCTGTATCCATGTCTAGCCGTGTCGGACATGGCATCAAGAGCAGACCCTCAGGTGAACAATCCATGCAACATAGCTGGAAACAAAGCCAACCCCCAGATAACCCATATCCAGATACACAAAAATCTCCTCAAAGAGCTCAGTATGGCTGGAGATACCTTCTGATGAAGACAACTCCTTGAAGTTACTGTAAAACTTGAAAAAGATAAGGCTACAGGTCCTAATGGTTTACCCATTGCAACCTTCCAACTTTTTTAGTAACATGATCAGTAAAGTTAAGGAGAACATAGCTAAGATCCATGAAATGCGCATCATTAATAAAGGCTCGAACTCAACTTTCACTGTAGACGAACTACTCCAAGACTTCAGGCCCATAAGCATGTTGAAATGTTGAACAGTGGCAACAAAATCCTTGCACAAGCTATTGTCAACTACTCAGCCAAATGATATCCTGTCAAAGACTGCCTTCATTAAAAGGTCTTCAAATCCTAAATGGAGAACTAGCAACTCATGAACATACGGACACAAGATATCACTACTTAGAAGAACCAAGGATCATCTACAAATTGGAACTACATAAGACTTATGATCGCTTTAATTGGGAGGTCCATAAACAAGAAGCACACCTGACTGAATTCCCTGCAAAAAGGCAATCAGGGATGCTTGGACGTAACTCCGAAGCCCATTTTCCAATCCTCATAAATGGCACTCCAAAAGGCTACTTCCCCTCTACTAGGGGACTCCAACAGGGTTATCTGCTGTCTCATTCTTGTTTTTCATTATTGTAAACCTCTTTTGCAGATCTATTTAACGCCTCTATCAACATGGCATGCCAGAACGTTTTGCTACTCCACATTCTGTCATTTCTCACCTCTCATGTGCTGATGCACCCCTTTTTGTAGTGCCATCCTACAACAGATTGACAACCCTTAGTTGTTCCTAGGTGTTTCAATTTGTGCATAGGACTAAGCATGAAATATTTATAATGAAACTCCCACCCATTGTGATTGGTGTGGGCTTTCGTACATAATGAAATTCCTAGGCATTTACAAACTCTAGTTGTTCCTAGGGTACACATGGCTGAATTGACGAAATTATCTCAAAGTCTCGGGTTCCCCAGTTGCCCAACATGTACCTGGGATTGCCATTATGTATAGGAAAGCCACACAAATACAATGGGTGGGATAGAGGATAAATTTGAATGGCGCTTCGCCTCTTGGAATGGTCGTTTTCTCTCATTGAGAGGCAGAATTAACCTAATCAAATGTTTGAAACTACTCTATCTAATAGACGAGTATATCAATTTTTGATCCGCAACACACCCTGAGGACAGTTTTTTGTTTTTAATAATATGCCCTGAGGCCTGTTTGTAAGATCAAAAAAATGATCCAAGAGTTTTGGGACCAGGTTAGAAGACAACCACAAATTTCACTTGGTCAAATTGGACAAACTCAGCTGCCAAAAGAAGTCTGGATGTCTTGGCATTAATAAATTAATAGAAGTGACACTTCAGTCTATTGGGAAAATGGTTGTAGCACTTTCCTAATCACTTTTGGCAACAAGTCATCTAAAAAAATGACACAATGGCCTGGTTTCCTGGGGGTTCGACTGCGACAAGCGAACAGAGATTTTTCTCGAGGGAGTAGACAGGAATTTCCTCAGTGCACCAAGAATTTAGCAAACATATCTGCTTTGAGGAAAGGGACAAAGATAGGTTTTGGAAGTATACGATAGGTTCATGTACTATGGAATCAGCTCTCCCAATTTATTCAAACCAGCCACTTATCCCAGAGTGCAAATAATGAGAGTTGTCGGATCAACTGGGTAGGCAGCCAATGCTGACACCCCATTTTCTACTGAAATCTTCGAAATGAAGAGATTTTCAAGATGCTCAACCTTCTCAAGTTGCTCAATCGTTTCTTCGTCCCCAGTGGTATGGACAAACTAATCTGGTGCCCCAGCCCAAACGGGTATGTTCTTCGTTTCTTCCTTCTATGAATTCCTGTGAATCACATAACTCTTCCCATATGCAACCTGCCAAGCATTGCTCATTCTTGAACCACTAAAATTATGGTCATTCAACTGACTGGCCATCTTCAAAAAGGCTTTGACCCTAACCATGTCAAAAACAGGGGAATACCCCTTCAAACCAATGTAGCATGCGCTTGGAAGAAGAGGACACTATAGATCATATTCTCCTACACTGAAAATATGGAACTAACATGTAGTTTTTCTTCCTTACCCTGTTCAACATAACATAGTCCCACCCCATTTCCTCCACAACCTATTTATATCATGGATGATAGTTCATTTTCCAAACATTGAGAGGTTACTTTGACACATCACCAGTATTTGCAGCATTTGGATGCAGCATAATCAATGAACATTGCAAGGGGTCGAGGACCAGCTAGCAGCATTTATAGATCATACCATGTCCCTAGCCATCAGGGACCATGACTTGCAAAAAATTTCAAGAGTTCTCATCAACCATACTACGAAGCAAGTGGAAAAATTTCATCTGAACTGCTCTACATAAACCACTCGATATGGACACCTGGGTAAATTTTGATGGGAGCTCGAAATGGAACCCAGGTAAATCATCCTGGACAAGTCCTTCTATCCAATTTTGGCCCTGCAGGGCACAGAGATTCATCACAAGCAGAAAGCTTTTTCAGTGAACCTGAAAATTTTTGACCGAGTTTGGCATGACAACATTGTGATCGAGGGATTTTCTGGGAACATAATCACAAGTGCCACCAACAGGAACTCCTGTCCATGGAGATTTTGTTAAGCGTTTGACAAGATTCTAGACATTTGCCATATGATCTACATCGACTTCCTGCATAACAAGTGAGAACATATGCACTAGCCGAAGACCTTGCAAAAGAAGGGGCTTCGCAACCCTCGCTCCCGATCACCAAACATAGTAACCCTTTTTCTATCATCATCCCCTTTTACTCTTCAAATTCAACACATGACTTAACACAACATTGTATCGAGTAAATATGCACTTCTCATTTTCGGCAGCCAGTGAGGCAAAAGTAAAGAAGTGTACATTTTGAAAATTTAATGAAAGTAATTATTGAAAAAGGGAACAACATATATCGCAACAGAGAGTTTGCGAATTGTCAAAGCCAGTGATCATTATAATGCAGTGATATACAAACTATCATGCAGTACATTTCATAACTAAGAAAATCTCCCCAGAAGATACATGGAATAGTTTGAAATTGTGAAGTCAGCTCCTAGCATCAAGGTCAAAGACCCTGTAAATGTTATTCTAGAGAGAGAGTGTATGCCACAAACAAATAAATGAATGAAAAAGACAACTGAGATTCAACACATTTGTGATAGCTCCTGCTACTGCAAAAGGACGAAGAAGAAGAATAAGAAAATGAATTAATAATAAAAAGAACCTAATGTCTCAGCATATCGAGTAACAGAAAATAACTGTTTCACTGCAATGCGCACAACAAACACAGGCCCTTTCGAGTATCATTTGATTATCAACGTCCAAAATTATCAAAAAACATCAGAATAAATTCAACTACCGCATTTGTATTCAACTATCGCATTTCCCCCTTACATTGGATTACCGCAATCAAAGGAAAAACACTAGTTGCAGAATCGATCTTCTCATTGAACAAGATTTTCAAAACATATTCAAACACTGATATTGCAGTAAAATCCCATAAAGAATCCATGGAATCAAAACTCACAGATTCTAAATAAGAAACCGCAGCCCTTCTTGTTTCGTCATTTGAGTTCAAATCCAGTGCTGCAAAAACAGCTCGAGCCACATTACTGGCATCGTTAGCTTCTTCCATTGCCAACAAGCCCGTTTCAAAAACCCTAAAATACCAAAAGCTCAGGGTTTATCAGATTGGACGGAAAGAGATTATGAGCTTTTGCAACTCTGTTTCCCATTGAAAACTAAAAGAAGAGAGCACACATTTCTGCTTTGCGCTCTCTAATTTTGGAAGCTTTTCGAAAGAGAGAGAGAGAGAGGAGAGAGAAAGAGAGAGGCTTTTTTAGAGAGAGAGGGAGAGAGTTTTCTATTTTTGAAGAACCGCCTCTTCATAGACACAAAAAGCAGCCAACAGCACGCTGGTACATGGAAAATTTCCAATACACCCTTAAGGAAAAAACTTGTATAGAGCCGAGTCTCTAAACAATCAATTAGAGTGCACCTCAAAAAATTTAGTAGAATGTGTGTTTTTGATGTTCAACTACCTTCAAATTTATCATCTCGACATCAAGATACATGAACATGAGAAAAAAAATGAATTTTAAGTTTTTCAAATAATATATCTTATAATGTATTTTTTTATTGTCAATTTTTAAGTTTTTTAAGTTTTTTTAAATCTGCTCTAACTGCACTATTTTTAAGCTTTTAATTTTATAATTAAAAATAAAAATATATTTTAAGGCTATCATAAAGATTTTTAATTTAAAACTATACTTTTTTACACTATTTAAAGGTATGCTCTACTTCGATTGTATAGAGCCTAGGCTCTGATTAAACCGTGCCCCCCGACAAAGGGGTGCCAAAGAGAGCACTAATGTTCATGGAATCTTTAAAGGATGGCGCTTGTCTAAAGTTGCAACCTTAAATATTTAAAGTAGGGAAAAGTTTATATAAGGTTGCAATCTTAAAATGAAGAATTACATGTGCACCTCAAAAAACTATTGGAAATGTTGTTTTAATGTTGAAAAACTCTCTATTTTATTATCTTGACATTGAGATGTATATATATATATACTAGTGGAGGNGAGACGACACAGGAGGAGTAG